CCCAGCCATCCCAAACCACAAGTGGTTAGAGTTACACTCTTTGCAGAGCGGCGGTGGGGGGGGGGTTATCCAAGAAGAACCAACATAAGTCAGAGATATTGAAAGGCAAAAAGAACAAGAAGGCCATAGTGGGAAGAGCTGGGGGGCAGTCTGATATTAATAGGACAGAAGGAGGTAGGAACTTTGTGCCATGTGTTCCGCATTTCGCTGTAATCCCTTATATAAACCCAAGAGGCCAGTTTGGTTCTTCCCAAACCTGCACGGTCAGATTCCCAGCGACGCAGAAAACACATCCATCTCCCGATGATGCGCTGTCGGTGTCGATATACAGCACATAAATAATGTTTATAGGTGTCCGGGGGTGCAGGGAAATACTCAGGGTAGCACGCAGAAAACAGCATGCTGCACGGTGCATGTGGTCACATAATAACACAGCTGAAGACACGGGAAAGAGACGATTTTATTTAAAATATGTGAATGTCTGTCAGCAGAGTGTCTGCATGTGTGCTGTGGTGAAATAAGATCTCTCATATTTCTCATTTCATCATTTTCTCTCTTTTTCCTTTAGGATATTTCTTCTCATTGACACACACAAAGAAAAAGAATACTGTATAGTCTTTATTTTATTAAAAAAATGACAACACTGAACTTTAAAACATCATATTTCATGATCTGAATACATTCATAGGCAGGATGGTCTTCAGTGTCTTTACAGATTGAAAGGTTTTCTCTAGAATGATGACGTTATGGTGGAACAGAGAGTCAGTGGCATCGGTAACTTCTGTGTCACAGTGAGCGTAATGGATGAACAGGGAGGAAGCCAATCAGCGGCGGGCTGTTGCTGTGTGCCGGGGGGGTTCTATGTGCGCTTGGAGACAAAGTGCTTCAGTCATCATGCATGACGGACATGCTCGCCCCCCTTGTGTGGAGATACATTTGTGTTTGCCTTTGAAGAGTTGGCCGGTGTGTGCATGTTACTCATGTTTGTTTGAAGCAAACTTAATATCTGACAGATGGCATAAAACATCAACAACACTCTGAAAGAGCACAAAAGGTTATTCTGGAATAATAAATCATTATAAATGTATTCTGGTTACCGTTCCAGGTGTCCTGGACATTTATGGATGAACACAGGCAAATGGTTTGTTGCACATTAGGGGTGTAACAATACATCAGGCCATGAAACAAGACAATGCTCAATATTTGGTTTGTGAGGATTAAGTTTGAGGCTATTTCTAGAAGGAGATTAGGAGTCTCTGTTTTGTTTCTTTGTCTCTGCAGTCTGCCTGGATGGAAAGTTACTGGTTTTCCTGCACTTATTACTGAAGTTGTACTGTTTGGAGAGAAAAAAAAAGATGTCTGTTTCTGTGCAAAATGGGATTAAAGGAATAAGATGCTGCACACTGCACTGTTTGCCTGGGACAATCTTGGACCGCCGCATGATATTAACCACAGGTCGTCTTCGGTAGTGAGAGATCAGCATTCAGTGCATCTGTCAACAGAGAACGTCCATTTAAGCTCAGACACTGAACATTGTGAAAACTTGCCAAAAAAGTTGAATTCTTGTGCTATTTGTGGGTCATAAAACACACAAAGATCCACCATGACCCGCTCGCTATTCAGCATTTTCTCCAAAACGTGTTGGCCAATCATGTTGCCGGGTTATGGGTTAAGGCGGGACATAAATATGGCGGCACAGATCATATTGTTCGAAATCCAAAATTTCATCTCTTAAAAAGAACCAGCAAGATCGTAAAAGCGGAAGATGTTGTTTCTCATGGTGCTTGTTGCTAGTTCCTTTTTTTCACTGATTGGCTGAAACCAAACTCTGGTAGGCGGGCACTAGGTTCCCCTTCCTTCACCCAATCAGCTCTACTGAATCTACCTCCTCCCTGAACCAATTAGACTGGCCCCAGATTGATGATGGCCGTTTTTCAATTCACTAGAACGCGAGTACAGACTTGTGTTCTCGCCAAGTCTGTTCTTGACTAGAACACAGACAAGTCTGGACTCGGGGATAACGGGAGAACGCAGAATAAATCTGGGTCAACTGGAACAGAAGCGTAATGATGACATCACCACATTCAAAGCTAGTCTGAAGCTGCATTTCATCTCCTGTTATTAATAGTCTCTATAAAATAATAAATTATGACTTTTTTCATTTAGTGGAGGAATAATAATGAACTCAGTCAGATAAACACAAATCAAATGAACATTTTGTCAAATGGCCCCTCACTATGGCCAGTGGTCCTTCACACACAGCTATGCAGAGAGAGGGCTGCTGCAGACGGGCTAACGTTAGCCCTAGCCACGGTTAGCCTTGGAGGTCCACTGGTTGCCACAGTCCTCTGAACTTCGGAACTTTTTTTTAAATTATGCATTAGATTAGAAGATGGGCCATATAGTGAAGCTAAAAGTATAATGTTCTTGGCCGTGCTTTGGTGGCGCAGTGGTTAGCATGTACAACCCATGTATGGAGGCCTCAAGGCTGGCCTATGTTCAGAAAACGGGTGGTCTGTGTGTGTTTTGCAGTGAACGCAGATACGTATTTGTCTGACCTCCATTGTGGAAAACGACTGGTGAAGACGGAGCAGCTAGAACACCGAGAATGTTGGGACCCTTCTACCCGGATCCCAGCTCTTTTTGGCCCTCATGTCGTGCCCCCACTTCCTCACCGCCTCGGCCGTATCTAGACCCACAGCTAGTTCCTGATTGGCCCTCTGGCGTTGTGGCGTGGAATAACATAGCGCAGACCATGCTTCTATATTGGGCATTAATCTGAAATATCTGCAACACACTGCTGAGGGAGGATAACCAGCTCTTCAGTCCTCGCTGCAGCCGACCCGGGTTCGAATCGGACCTGTGGTCCTTTGTCCTGTCAGACTACTGTCAAAAAACGAGCCACTAGTGCCATAAAAAAAAGAATAATATTCTCGCCTCAAATGATCTTAAAAAGTACTTTTATTGAACAACAGCAACTGAGAAGATAACTTTTAACTTAATCCTCTGAGCTCTGTGAGCGCTAACCTGGAAGCTGCTGCTGCCGCAGTGCATGCTGGGACAGCTGTCAGTCTGGAGAACGGACAAGTCTGCTCTGATGCATGCTGGGTAAAGAGGGAGGGGCCAGAACAACACCTGGGGACTTTGTCCGTTGTCTGTCTGCTGTTCTTGTGAACTGGAACAGTGCTAGGGCTGAGGATGATGACGTTTCACGAGAACACGAGGACGCACAAGTACACAGATTGAGAAACGGCCAATGTGTAGAACTAAACCTGAATGCTACTCGTTAGCATTATGTGGTTAGACGGTGCCTCGATCAAATACCTGAAATTATAACCCCTCCTTCCTGTTCATAGCTCCTATCCCTTCATCTCTCACTGAACCAGCAGCAAGAACACCATGTAGGAAAGGAAAGGAGCTCTGAACTGGACCCTGCTGAACCCGGATAGCCTGCAGCCTTCTGGAGGTCATTACAAGACTAAAACAAAAAAAAATAAGTACGTAAATGAGACACTTTGCCAAAGGAATAAAACAATTTACATTTAAAATAAGAAAAAAAAAATTGCATCGTCTTGGTTCAAGTGCTTAATAACTGCTTATCTTTTTAAGAGGAAAATTGCTCATTCCATTGGCAGAACATTTTTTACTCACTGAAATTAAGGATGAAGACCTTTTCAAAAAAAAAAAAAAAGTTAGACAAATGTAGTGCACTGCTAAGGAAATAGAGTATTTTTTAAAACTCCATGAACTGGGCTTTACCTATACGTCCTGTCAGGCAAAGGATTATGGACAACTGTATAATGTTGCTCCTACAGGTACAGGCTCGGACTGGTCATCTGTGATGGCGGCCATTTGCCCGGTGGGCCGGTCTTAATTTCAGCGTGCGAGGTTCCGGCCCTCCTAACACTAACTCTCCAGCTGAAGCTCCTACCCGTGACAGTAAATAACTCAAGGAGCTCAAAAAGGAATACAATATTTACTACTTGGATGATGCAGGCAGTATTTATAGCCCTTCCTTGTCATGTTGGCATATGGTGTCATTTTCTGTTTCTTCAAACTGTAAAATCCTTGCAACAAACTAAATTATAATAAAACTAAAATGCTTTCTTTAAACCAAACTACGATGTTCCTTTTATATTTGGCGATTTTATGTTAGAATATTTAGCAAAATATGTTCCGGTGCATGATGGGGTTTTGCATCTGCAGGGTAGTGTTTCCTGTCTTACGTTCATTGTTGCAAGGTTGGATATTTCCCATTCTGGCAGTTTAGGACGGCCGTCTATGGGTAAAAAATGTTTTTCTTTAGATGCATGGCCTTAGAGGTCAATAGACTTTGTTTCAAATTGGGCGAGATTTCGTAAATCCAGGCGGTTTATGAACATGGTTTGGGCTGGAAAACGTGAGTCGGTGATATCTGGCGGCCCTGCTGATGTGGTAAGTGTGGACGTTACGCGACAGCGGTCACTGTGGCGTCCGTGTTGATAACCAAAGCCAGTAAAACCACATTATAGAAGTCTTGGAGATGGTTTTTGTGTGATGCCTGAAGATCGATCCGTTAATCCACAATGTGTATTCGTATTGTGTTTCACATTTGAGACGCACACGTTTGACTGTGCTTGTGACTGTTTTTTCCGGCGATGCGTGAGGGGCGGTGTAGATGGAAAAATGCCAGGGCCGAAAATGGTTCCCAGTCCGAGCCTGTCAAAGGCTTAAGTGTCCTTACTCATTAGAGGTTTTCAGGTTTTCAGCCATTGTGAACCCGGCTTTAGCTTAGCAATTCTAGCATCTCAAAGGCTTTTGTATCTATGCTTCTTTTTCTATGTCTGCTTCTGTCTCCTTGAACCCCAGTCGGCCTCAGCAGATGGCCGCTCACACTGAGCCTGGTTCTGCTGGAGGTTTCTTCCTGTTAAAAGGGAGTTTTTCCTCTCCACTGTCACTACAAGCATGCTTAGTGTGAGGGATTGCTGAAGAGTCAATGAGTCGATGCAATCAGCTGGTTTTCCTTAGATAGAAAACTTTGAATCAATCTGACTGGATGATCTGGTGAACTGGAAAGTGACCTGAGATGACATGATGTGAATTGGAGCTATAGAAATAAACTGAATAGAATTGAATTGAAAGGGAAATGTTAACTTTAGTGCAGTCAGTGTTAGCCAATCACAGTGTTCTCACAGTGCTACAAAATCATCTGCATCTTGGTTCCTTCTTTGCAGTTTTCTTTCCTTTCCATGAACAGATGCAGGTAGGAAGGTTTAAATAACGCTCTATTGGACACTTTTGTAATGGAGTCTTCTGGTAAACCCTAATCATAAGTTTTTATTTTTCAAATTTGTTAACAAAACCAGCTCAAGAAGGATTTCCTTAATTCAAAATAAACTTTCCCCTTCGTGTTCAGAACCCAAGCTGACACATTTAGCCCTCTTTAGTCCCGTGCAGACAGCAGATACGTTTCTTAGATGAGGAATACTGTAGTGCTTTAATATCAAGATTTTATGGGACGACATCTTGTTACACCCCTACTATGTGTATCTGTTATATCTGTGAGATACCATGAACTGCCAGTACTGGGAAACAAACCAGAAGGAGACGAAAGTGGCTTTTTCCTCTCCATCACCGTCATCAACATAATCATCATCCTCCTTGTAGGAGGAAGAATCCAGTGGGCGTGTCTACATCAGGGGGTATTCTCTGGGCAACGTCAAAGGTTCGTGGCTAGCTGGAATTTACCGCACCTAGTGAACCACAGAAGATCTATATTTGTTCCTCTGTGTTGTCCCTTTTTTGACATCCCGCTCTCTGATTGAGTCTTGGAAGCAGCAGCAGAATCAAGCACAGTAGGCGGCCCACCTTCAGATCCCAACTCCACCCTCCACTGACTATTTGCAGCTCCAAATCTGTCATAATCATCCCGACTCGCCTCCCGCTGTGTCCACGCTCTGTCAATCTCCTCAGTCTCAACAAATAAGTTAAACATAATAATAAGAAGGCATCAGTGACAAACCAAATGTGAGCATGAGGGAGGCAGGGTGTTAGAAGGTGTCCTTCTTAAGGAATAGTCTTTGTTTCCTCGCTGGAATTAGCCATTAAAACAGCAGGATGGATCTGGTTGATGATGGCTGACCTGGCGCTCTCACTGGCCGTCGCTCTAGTCAGAGGGTGGGATGGTTTCAAAGCAGAAGAGGGAGATTTGCGAATCTTTTTGTTCTCTCTGGCTTGTCAATGAGGAAGAGTATTGGGCATTTGTTTTGCGTCCATCAGATGCGCCCGCTTCCTCTCCCGCATCACCGGCAAGTGTGAATCTCCACCATTTTGCGGCACTGTTTGCACTTCACATAACAACACCAGTGGAACTTACAACTACACCTGTCCACAACCTCCACTTCCTGCGTCTGGAAGCCACGGCCGCAGCACATCAGCTCGCAGCCATCGATGGCCTTCGACGTTCTATTACACTGGCGCCCCACTGTGCCCAGCATCCCCGGCGTGCGCGGGTCATAGTCACAGAAGTCTGGACTGGGTTCCAGGTAGACCAGGTCTTCATCAGTGTGAGGTTTGAACTGAGAGTTGCGAGGCACCAGGACTTTAGTAGAGCCCACTCTGCGCTGCTCCACCTCTGTGGCGCCGTCAAACTTCTCCTTGATGATGTTGCCCACCTTGCGGAATGGTGGCATAGCTTTCCAGCAGGTCTTCACCTCGCAGGAACCTGACACACCGTGGCATTTGCACTCCACACGCATGTGGGACAGGATGGCCTGCAGAGACAGTTAGAGATGTGTTACGCACCTTTAAAGGGAAAATACTGAACAAAAACAAGGTTCTTTAAACTCTGACCTCTAAGGTTTATAGGGTTTATACAGGAATGAGTAACTCTAATTTATTGCTTTTTAATGATCTTAGAAATA